TCCACCACCATGACCTTGGAGTTGGTAGGTGAAGTGAGGGCCCTCTGTGTGCCCTCACTTTGGAGAAACGTGGCAACCTTGAATCACAGGAAGTGCCCAAGCTGGGCTGGTTCTGCAGTGACCATGCTAGATTCATGCCTAGATACTTTGTTGGAGTGGTGACTGGTGTTTACTGGAGAAGCAAAGGGCAAACAGCTAAGCCTAACCCAATTCGGGCTTCAGGAGCCAAGCCAATCAGACTCAGTCTGTGTGTGCACCTGGGATGTCTCACCCTCTTTATGAATCAATGGTACAGAAAGTTAACTGCAAAACCAGACACTTCATGAATAAGGCGGATCTCCTCTGTAGAGGCCATGTTGTTTTATAAAATAGTGATTACTGGCAAATGTCACTGTGGATAAGCTACATTACTTCTTTTGGAACGTCTTTGAACTCCATGGTCTCAAGTGATTTGTCTGAAGGGACTGGCCGAGTTTCTAGTGACTTATGAGGCAAGACCTTGTAGTCCTCTGTGGGGTAGAGAAGGTTCCCTCTAGTATGCCAGCGCTTTCCCCATTGAGGAGATCTTCTCATCCACCACATCCAGAGATGTGTACACCATGTACTAGAACCTCAGCTCGTTCTCCATGGGGGTGCTGCGGATGTAGAGAGGGTAATTCTCCTTGGCAATCACCACAGTGCTCATCGCCGTCTTGGGAGGCCCTATGCCAGGTGACCCACCCATTGTATTTCTAACTCTACAGGGAGGTGCTAGTAAGGAGCTATAGCTGTGGTAAGAGATCTAGTTCTTTTACCCTTGGCATCAAATATGCTTGAGTTCCCAAACCTAAAAGTTAAGAAGAAATCATTTTTTTTTGAGATGGAGTCTCACTCTGTCACCCAGGCTGGAGTGCATTGGTGCAATGTTGGCTCACTGCAACCTCCACCTCTTGAGTTCAACTGATTCTCCTACCTCAGCCTCCAAGTAGTTGGGATTACAGGCCTGCACCACCACGCCCAGCTAATTTTTGTATTTTTAGTAGAGACGGAGTTTCACCATGTTAGCCAGGCTGGTCTTGAACTCCTGACCACAGGTTATCTGCCCACCTTGGCCTCCCAAAGGCATTACATTACTGCACATGGCCTGAAATAAATTATTTATGTAATCAATACCTTTTAATCACATGTGAATCACCACTTTTTTTTCTCTCTAAGAAATAAAGACCGTTTTAAATTCAATCATTTATTCATTTCAAGACAAAATTTCACTCTCTTGCCCAGGCTGGAGTGCAGTGGCATGATCATAGCTCACTGCAGCCTTGACTTCCTGGGCTCAAGTGATCCTCCCACCTCAGCCTCCTAAGTAGCTTGCAATTTTTCCTATCACTGTAAAGATTTGCCATAGAAAAATTAGAGAAGGCACAGGTTCTGATTAATGAAGATCACCATGAGTTGTAGCAAACCAGGACTCAAATATTTGAATAATTCCCCCTTGTGGAGTTGGTAAGACAATTAGGGACTAAATGTGGTCTATATAATGAATAGATACTATTTTTCTTTTTGTTTGTTTGTTTGTTTATTTATTTATTTATTTTCGTTTGAATAGATACTATTTTCCACCTATCAGATTGGTAACAGTTTTTAAGTGTAGCAATATCAAATGTTGACAAGGGTGCAAGCAAAGTACTCTCATATATAGCTGGCAAGAGTGGAATAGCCACTTTGTATGACAATTTGGCAGTATCTAAAAAAATTGAAAATGTATGCCCTCATGACTCTGTAATTCCCACTTCTCTCTACCCTAGTAAAACCTTGCACATGTGCACAGAAGGCATGTACAAGAATATTTCATTATGACAAAAAAATGAGGCAGACCCATATATGCTGATATAAATAAATCTCCATGACTAATTAAGTAAAAAAAGGCAAGTTACAGAATAACATATATATATATATATATAAAATTCTGTTTAACACATTTTAATTGGTATGTACTATATATTTACTTATATTAATTACATATTCTAGAAATGGATATATGTGATATGTAATATATAATACATTTATGTAATATATAATCATGCACCAAATAATGACATTTCAGTCAACAACAGACTATGGATATGATGTTGGTCCCATAAGATTATAATACTCTTATTTTTACTGTACCATTTTTATGTTTAGATACAAAATATTTAACCATTATAATTGCCCACAGTATTCAGTACAGTCGCATGATATACAGTTCTACGGTATTAGTACATGCTATCATGTTCACACAATGATGAAATTGCTTAACGATGCATTTCTCGGAACACATTCCTGTTATTAAGTTACATATGACTGTGTATGTAAATGTCTAGATATGTAATATTTGAGTATATAAATGTCTAGAAAAAATGTCTGGAAGATCTGCATCAAACTGATAACAGTGCTTACTTCTGGAGGGGGACTGGAATTTTGGCAGGGGTGAGACAGTCAAGGGGACTTGACCTTTATATTTATTATCTAGATTTTTTATATAAATATATTTATATGTTACTTCTATAAGTAAAAATATACAGTATAGTTTTCTATATTATAAATATAGAATATATTTATCATATAAAGAATATATGAATATACACATACATACATACATACATACACAACCATGTTATTAGTGATTTTAAATAGGGAGGGTAGGCCGGGCGCGGTGGCTCATGCCTGTAATCCCAATATTTTGGGAGGCCAAGGCAGGTGGATCACTTAAGCTCAGGAGTTCGAGAGCAGCCTGGCCAACATGGTGAAACCTCATCTCTACTAAAAATACAAAAATTAGCCAGGCGTGGTGGCAGATGCCTATAGTCCCAGCTACTTGGGAGACTGATGCATGAGAATCTTTTGAACCCAGGAGACAGAGGTTGCAGTGAGCCGAGATCACACCATTGCACTCCAGCCTAGGTGACAGAGTGAGACTCTTGTCTCAAAAAAAAAAAAAAAAAAAGGTAACTATAAAGATTGATTTTCACTGGTTATACTGAAGTAACTGAGTACATTCTTGGAAAACAGCTCTAACCTATTTAGAAAGCTTCTATGATAATGTAGCCCCACCTAATCTGCCTCTGCTTCTTTGTGTCAATCTAATGCTGGTAGGGCCTGCGTATAATCTTCTTGGCTGCCAACGAATCCAGTCAGTTTTCTCTAATCTTTTTTGGTTATGAGAATAGGATGGAATTTGCTCATTGGATTTTCCACTGTCAAGCTTCAGTTTCTAGACTCCGTTTTCTAAATGCATATAGAACTGCAGTTGTTAGTGAGTAGATAAGTTTGAAAGCTCTGGATATAAGAATCTTTGTGCAGCTCTTTACAAAGTATCTACCTTTTTACCTTATTTGATCTTCCCAATGACCCTGTGAGATAGGTGTTATTGTTAATTATTGACATAGATAGGGAAACCTTTGGGAGTCTCCAAGAGCTCCCCTAGATCTAATGATTCACTAGGAGGATTCACAGGACTCAGGATGTAGTCATACTCACAGTGAAGACTTATGGAGCCGGATGATGTGGCTCATGCTTATAATCCTAGCACTTTAAGGAGGCCAAGGTGGGAGGATTGCTTGAGCCTAGGAGTTCAAGACCAGCCTGGGCAACACGGTGAAACCCCATCACTACAAAAAAATACAAAAATTAGCCAAGGTGGCGGCACACACCTGTAGTCCTAGCTACTCAGGAGGCTAAGGTGGGAGGATCACTTGAGCCCGGGAGGTAAAGGCTGCAGTGAACCATGATCATGCCACTGTACTGTAGCCTGGGTGAGAGTGAGACTGTTTCAAAAGAAAGAAAGAGACAGAGAAGGAAGGAGAGAAGGGGGAGGGAGAGAGAAAGAAGGAGGGGGAAAAGGGAGGGAGGGAAGGGAAAGGGAGAGGAAAGGGGGGGAGGAGGGGGAGGAGAGGGAGAAGGAGAGGAGAGGAGACGAGAGGGAAAATAAATAAGCAAACGAAGGGCCAGATGTGGTGGCTCACGCCTGTAATCCTAGCACTTTGGGAGGCAGAGGCAGGAGGCAGGAGGATCACTTGAGCCCAGGAGTTCAAGACCAGCCTGGGCAACATAGCGAAACCTTGTCTCTACTTAAATAAATATATATATATATGCTGGGCATGGTGACACGCACCTTTAGTTCCTGCTACTCTGGAGGCTGTGGTGGAAGAATTGCTTTAGCCCAGGAGATGGAGATTGCAGTGAGTTGAATGGGGCCACTGCACTCCAGCCTGGGTGACAGAGCGAGACTCTATCTCAAAATAAATAAAATAAAAAAGATTTATTACAGCAAAAGGATACGAGGAAAAATCAGCAAAGAGAAAGGCATGTGGGAAGTGTGGAGGAAACCAGGTACAAGCTTCCAAGAATTTTTTCCCAGTCAAGTCACAGGAAGCACTTTATTCTTCCAGCAGTGGGTTTAACATGTATGGAATACTGCTTACCAGGGAAGCTCCCCTGAGCCTAAGAGTCCAGGACTTTTGCCAGAACTCAGGCACAGGTGGGCATTCCGTACCTTATAAATACCAAAATTCTAGACTCCCAGAAAGAAGAAAAGTGTTCAGGATAAATGATATTGTTTGTACAGTTTAGGCATAGAATGAACCACTCTTATCAGCTAGGGAGTGGTGGCAACCTTATCAAAATCTAAGTTGCCAGACATGAGCCTAAGGACATCCTTGTAAGTAGGCCTTTTTAAAAATAGCACTCTCAGGCCTGCTATATTAACTCTTTTCTGAACAGAAACCAAACTAAAAGATGAAATGACTTTCCTTAAAGATACTTAGTAAGTGTGGCAGTCAAGATTAAAACCCAGACCCTCAGATTCCAAACATTTCCTACTACATAACTTTAATTTCCATCAAATCAAGGATAAATGTTTTCAGCATGCAACTGAAGTGGTAAAATTTAATGCATAGTTCATTGAGACATGGAATGCTGAAGTGGTTTTTCTTCCTGTGCCATGTAATGTCTTCTTTCTCTTTGACCTATAACCTTTCTAGGATAACATAAAAGGTCTAGAATTAGAAGTCATCAATCTGCAAAAGGAAAAGGAAGAATTGGTTCTTGAACTTCAGACAGCAAAGAAGGATGTCAACCAAGCCAAGTAAGAATAAAATTAATAAATGTTATTTAAGTCCCTACTATGTGTGAGGAGCTTTGCAAGAAATAGAGAAGTAGAAGTCCCGTTTACTGCCTCCAAAAGATTTAAACCTAGTTGTGAAGAGGAGACCTAAACACAAAAATGGTTAAATAATTGCAATTTTAAATAGCATCTGAAGTTGACAGTAAAAGGATGTCATAACACAGCATATGATTAGTAGCCAAATAAATTTCTTAGGCAGTAATTGTGTTAAGAGTTCAGAGGTGAGAAATAATCAATTCAGACTACCATGATCAAGGAAGGCTTTGTAAAAAGTTAGCATTTGAGCTGGCTTTTAAAGGATTATCAGACTTAGTAGATAACAGCAGTTTCTTTGTCCCTGCACTAATGGTAAATTAGTTTGTGAATGGAATTAGTGTACAGGCTAGTGATTAAAAAATCAATCTAGCCATCTCTTACCAGTTAAGAGTAAAACCAAAGCAGATAACCATAACATTCTACTCTCCTTCAGACCTCTGCCATATGGGCTATTCTACCTTCTTTTTACTCAGTGACTCCATTTGATCTCTCGGTTGTGTCTAAAGCTCATGTTTGTAAAAGTTATGCTGAATGT